CCTAGAGCTGTAACCGCTTCTCCCGCTCTACTCGTATCTCCCGCTTCAACTCCTGAACCGTATCCGCCCATTCCCTTCCTATTCTCCTAAAACCAAGTTCTACCTTCTCGCAACTCCGACAGGTAAAGCTGCTCTACTAGGCTTCTGCTACAGTCTTGAATTCCGTCTCCATCATACAGCACCAACGGCCACAGTCCTCACATTCTACATCGGGTCCTTCTTTCACTTTAGGCTGCGCATCCTTCTTGCGTCGCGTATTCACCATTGTCTACCGACACACAGCGCGACCCCAAGACAAATATCCCACCAAAACTCAAAACCAAGAAAGCCTGGGTACGCCTCTGCCCACACAACGAACTAACCCGCCAAACGTTTCAAATGTGCAGGTGGTTCGGTCTCGTGATCCTACCTAAAAAGCCTGCTTTAACCCGACTATCCTATCGCTACTTTAAAAAATGCTTTCTTCCACCAATAAAACCACTAGTATAAGACCAAAAATGCAAACAAAATGATTTATTGTCCAGGGCTGTACACCTGGAGGATCAACCCCAATGAGGTGTGCGTCTTGCCTTTAGCGCGCAACACCACAAACGAAGAAGATCCAACAAGCAAGCCTATCCTATAGCTACTTTAAAAACTGCTTTCTACGTTCTTTGCTACCCCAAGCTCACCCGCAACTAAAATAAATACACCAGAAATCCCTTAGCTTCGCAGGATCTCTGGAAAACACGTCCTCTTTGTCAGCTGACGAGTCGACTGTCCTTCTGCCAAAGTTCGATACAACAGGCGTGAAAAGCAAGGCCATTTCGCATCAGTCTGTAAAACCAAGCGACTCCGGCAAGTCGCCAAGCTGAATTAAGGGGCGTCGACGGAGAAAGACTTCTCCTTCGCAGGAGCGGCCAACACTGAGCAGAAGAAAAAGCCGTGGAAAGTCAGTGTCGTGGTTTGGTGGTCAAAACGTAGAGTTCCGCCCAGACGCAGGAGCGGACGTTACCGTAAATCCAACAAATGTACTCGTAAGGCAGGACAAGGGGACAACACTCCAGAAACCCAACATGCTCCTTCTTGGACCAGCGAACAGCGGCGGGACATGGCGGGGGCAGTGCAAGCAATAGTAGTATACGATGGGAAAAGTGCCGTAGCGAGCCTCTACGTCACAAAGGACCTGAACGAACCTCTTCTGGGCTTGGACCTCATCGAACCTTTTGGTATCCTGTGCCAGGTCAGTAGAACCGGAGCAGAGCGATGTCTCGACCCAGTCAACGAGTTCCCACAGGTGTTCCGAAGTTTCGAGAAGCCCTCTACACTTGCAAAATCAAGCTGAAGTCGCGGGTGGAGCCTGTAACAGTCACATCACCACGACGCATTCCGTTCCCCTGTTGAAAGCTGTGGAGCGTCAATTCCGAAAGATGGAACACAAAAGAGTGATCACCACTGTCAGTGAGCCAACCGATTGGTGCTCGCCAATCGTGGTAGTACCGAAAAAGGATGGTGACATTCGCGTCTGTGTGGATTACACCATGTTGAACAAGAGCGTGCGGAGACTATCATCAAATTTCAAGTCCGGAGTCTATTTTCCTACTTTGGGACAAGCTAAGTACTCATCACGTTTGAATGCTAACTCTCGCTTCCGTCAAGTGAAACTGAACACCGAGTCAACACGGCTCACCATATTCATCACCTCATTTGACCGGTTCAAATTTATCCGCATTCCTTTCGGCATCTCCTGTGCTCCTGAGCAATTTCAAAGAATGACTCAACAACTCTTCGAAGGACTTGACGGTTTTGCGTGTCATATCGATGATATTCTGGTGTGGGCCAAGACCTAGGAAGAGCACGGCAGTCGCCTACGTGAAGTCTTAGGCAGGTTTAAGGGAAAAAGGATCACGCTTAACCGTGAAAAGTGCGTGTTCACCCAGGAAACAGTCAAGTGTCTCGGACATGTGGTCAACAGTGATGGCCGCACCCCAGACAACAATAATATAGCGACCATCGTAGACATGCCACCTCCAGCAAACGTCGCAGCACTCAAGAGGTTCCTAGGAATGGTGGATTTCATCCTGCGGTTCATACCGAACCTGGCGGTCAAGAGAGGACCCCTGAGAGACCTGCTTTAGAAGGATGTTCCATTCAGCTGGGACAGCTTGCAACAACATGCTGGTCAAGTGTTGGTCTGAAAGCGGTCCTGATGCACCGCCAAGAGGACAAAAGCCTGCTAGCCGTGGCATATGTATCGAAAACTCTGACAGAGACAGAGAAGGGATATTCTCAGACAAAGAAAGAGGCCCTTGCCGTTACGGGGGCATGTGAGAAGTTCAAGGACTATCTCACCGGTCTAAGGTTTCACATTAAAACTCACCATAAGCCATTCACCCCCTCTTCACACGGAAACCAGTGGATGATATTACACCAAGGCTCCAATGGCTGCGTCTCAGGATGACGCGCTACGACCACACCATGCATCACGTGCCCGACAGGGACCTGGTTGTTGCTGATGCCTTGTCTCCTCAACCACTGCAGGGACAGGACAGCTCGCACCTCGCAGAGGCAGTCGCCGACTTTGAGCAAGCCCTCATTCGGCATGTGAGTGTCCCAGATGTATGTCTGCGGAGCCTTGCACATGCACAAGACCAAAACTCTGTGTGAAGAGCTCTGAAAAACTATGTTCAAACAACCTGGCCGAAGACAAAAACACAAGTTCACCAGGAGTGCTTACCTTAATGGCAGTTTAAGAACAAACTTAAGTTGCATGATGGAATCATCATGAGAGGGCAACAATACCTGATACCTGTTTCCCAGAGATACTCAGTGCTAACTTCTCTCCATGATAAACGCAAAGGCATCCTTAGTGTACAAGACGAGCCCAGCAATCCTGTTGGTGGCCTGGTCTATCAAAAGACATTGCTGACATTGTGGAGAAATGTGTCAGTTGCATGAAGCAGAGGCAACCTCGGAAATAATCACTCATGCCAACTCCCTTCTCTGACCGACCGTGGTAAAGAGTAGCCATGGACCTTTTTCATAATAATGGGAAGTGGTACCTTTTTGTGACGGACTACTAAAATTAATACACAGCAGCAGCAGCAGCAGTTATACACACAAATAAGATGAAATATACGGTAACGAACCTGCGGTATATACAGGAGACAATTTGATGATGCTTTGTACCACTGCCGCTGCGGCCAAGTGAAGCGCCGTTGCTGGTGTTCCGAGCTTTTGAAGTCCTCCGCTGGAGACGTGGAATGTCAATGGACCAATCGGGCAGGTAGTCGTCAGCTTTGACGCCGCGACTGATATGGGAGCGCGCGAAGGCATGCATCTTGCTTGTGCCGGCAACTATGTTTCAGAACATTGCAGATGAATTGGGCAGTTTCTTCGGGTTTATCGCTCGCCCGGCAACGTCCTGCGGTAAATACAGGAGACAATTCGACGATGCGATGTGCCACTGCCGCTGGTGGGAAGTATTTATTCATGTTATGAAATCAATACCATTTGCACCTTTGGTAAAGAATACTATGATTTATTGTGTTACGACACATACTATATAGGCAAGAAACAAATTACAACTGTAATAATTATTTTAAATGCTAATTCTACAAAAGCAGTTTGTATGACAAAATTAGACTAAGGTTTTTTTAATAGTTCACATCCGTAACTTATTTTGAACTATAGGTGCGTCTTTGAAAATTCTATAGCACGCAGCGTTTCATTCTTTGTTCCGAGCTAATCTTTGGAATGTGTGTCACTGCTAGTTGAATTACAAATATATAAAGTTGACTTGGAAATGTGATAATAACAATATGAATACAATTTAAGCGCCTCACTTACGACTAGAAGTAAGCCCGATATCTCCACCGTCAACATGAGCACGTCACCGCTGGAATTACGCTTGAAGCTTTGAGACCGCACTTAGGAAATCACTTTTACAGCGATAGCTGTTTTGGGCTCTTCCCACCACCGGAAATGACGTCCGTCTTGATCTTGTACCTCTATTCATTGTTCATGTTGTAGTTGGCGTAGTAGGGTGTCCGCCATCGATGTTACCTGATTCATGAAGATCAGAATCTGGCGACAGCGGGAATCGAACCTGCGAAGAGAAGGCGTTACGACAGAGCTACATCGCAGCCTTAAGAACCCGCTTTACCCTTGGGATTTGTGCAGTACCCGACGCCCACTGCATGCGCTCTCTAAACAAAATAGAAAGTAATATCCGATAACAAAATACCGTCGTAGCCCTGCCAATGCCTAGAGCTTATGCTGGAAGATGCGCTTTTATGTGCCCCGGGAAAAATAAACAAAGTAAGGTTTTCTAAAAAAAACTGTCAACATTTTTTTTTTCGTAAACATATTTTATCACGCGCTTTAAAATGCCTGAACGCGACAGCCGTTCGCCCTGACGTGTCGCAGCTATAGCTGTGGCTGTAATGTGAAGCAACACAGGCCTACTCAATTTTCTTCTAGTGCATTCTGGCTATGCGAGATCTTAGTTCTCAAGCACTGGATTATCACATGGAGCACCGTATAAATCATTACGAAACTGTCGTGACGGGGTATCTAAAAATGTACAAAAGCGATATTTCAGTAACTACAATAACAAGCCTCCGCCTGGAAGTCATCGACTTCATCTATGTATACGTGAACAAATACGTGAGGTTAAGCGCATATTCTTTTTCTAAAGGTAGTTGAACCATATTGGTAAACAGACTCAATTCGTAGCTTTGCTTTCACGGTAAATGCACAGCCAGGGTATTTTATGCGCCCCTCAATTCGTAAAGGTTGGTGCACGCAAAATCACGCGTGTGTGAATAATATGTTTTCGTGCTCGAACAATGACGATTGTTCCCTAGCAGCTGGGTGGCAGGTTATTTTCCACTAACGAAAACAACAAAAGGCGATCTTACATTACGAACTTATATGAGCGCATAGGTATAAAAACGTAACGCTATCTCAAGATATATACGGTGTCTGAGTGTGTATGCGTCTGTAAACCTCAAGTGACAATGATTGCCCTCTTCTTCTTGGGAGTTCTGCTTTTATGTCACAGCCATGCTATAAATTATCCTGATGCCAACGAGGTAAGAAAATACCATTCATCCGACCCATTATTGCGAGGTGATGGATAGACTTTTTTTCAGTAGCTTATACCCCCTACATGAGGGTCCATATATGCACGTTCGACGATCGAATTGTTAGGATGGTTTTGTTAGCAGGAGCGAGGACAGGATAGCACACAATGAGAGAACTCACAAAGTATTTATGAAGACTGGGCCATCAAGTGGGACCTGACGCGAATTGTCGTACGCGCCACTCCCCCGTTGTCATGTTCCCCTTGCTAACAATACTCTCCCGACGAAAACGGCCGACCCGGCAGGTGAAAAGGAAGACATGATATTTACTCACACACGCACACACTTAAAAGAGGGGACAGCTGCCGACAGTGAAGTAGCGATCTAGAAAAAGAGTTCGTTACACTTGGGCCCCTATCTCAAGCGTCACAGACCTTTGCACCAGCCACAGCACGGTTCGGCCTGCGGACTCACATCAAAAAGCGTGAGAAGGTCGGTGGCGGTGGACAGGGGCGGGAGATCGTCTGCCGACTTCATCTCTTTTGGCTCGTCAATGCAACTGGGAGGAGGCTGAGCGACAGAGCCATGGGCTGGTGTTCGGTCCGCTGATGCAGATGACTGCCAAATAAGGGCGGAAGTGCTGAATGAAGTGCTGGAGGAGGGGAGGAGTGCGGGGGGCTCATGGTTTTTACATGAGCTTCTTTCGGTGCGCCTGAGCATGTAACCCATATAGAAGCTGCGCTTAATGTATTTAGATTATTGTTTCCTTGGCACTAACGGGAGGGAGGGGGGAGCGGGTATTTCGCCATTATAAAGATAAGATCGTAAAGGTACAAATTAATATTACGCTTATAATATTTAGTTACTGTGTTTTAATTTTATTATGCTGGTGAAAACTCTACTTGTTTTCCTGCACTTTGCTTCGTAAGTTGTCGGCCTATTTAATTTGACACTCTTTCACCCTTTTCATAGAGATACCGCAAAACGCCAATTTTGAGGTACAACTACGTCTTTCTCCGCACTTGGGAGGAGGTGCAAAGTTGGGAAGTCGATATCACGAGAACTTGACCACCGAAGTGCGGTACCACACGTCAAAATAAATTTGAAGTTATTTTCAACGCGAAAAAAAGTAAACAAAAGAACCTGCGACTTCTCATGCGTGAGGAGGTTCCTCGCACCACGGTACACCAAGTACGCGGCGAACATGCGATCACCTCTGCCACGCAGCCGCAGTTGGCTTCTTTCATCGGCATAAGCTTCTCCTCGAAAGAACTTCGTATCGCACAATTGACATGGCCCAATAGCACTCCCATGTTGTTTTCGGCGACTTACCTCGCACGGAATTTTGCATATGCGACTCAAAGATGACGGCACGGGGGCTGCATGATTGCTTCTACGGGACTCTGAACCACGGGCATTAACTTGTCACGCAACCGCCATCGCCATACTACGCGAGTCAGCGGACGTATCTCTAGCTGCCATAAACAACATATTTGAGACGAGTATACAAGGCACAACACAGCATCGTTGAAATCACTCCCCTCTCATTTCTGGTGCCACTCACACGTAGTTCTCTGGAAATGTGTGCAGCATAGTACACATACCTGAAACAGCGCACAAGCACAGGAGGAAAAAAAATCGAACAAAGGAAGGTGCACTGACTCCCAACTTATATATTGTGAAAAAAAGAGATAGAAGAAGCGTCAGACACGGAGACCACGCGCACCCAGAAGGCAAAAAGAAGAAGGAACAAAAAGAGGTGTATTACTAAGTTGCGGTAGAAAAGGAGAAAAATATATTTTAACGACACGACGAATAAGAAGAGAAAAAAATAAAAAAAAGTGCAAGAACACAAACAAAATTGCGTAAGGTACAACCCGGCCAAGATCACTTGTATGCGCTGGCTAGGAAGTCAACCTCCTTGTCACTCAATGATAGTGAAGGGTGACTCAAACCGCTGGCCTGATTTTGCATGTCCTATGCTACGAAAATGTCTCTAGTTTGCCGTTCTTGATATAGTCCTAATATTCTTGTGTCCGAAAAAGTTGGTGAGCACTGATGGGTGAGGCAGTGTATGGACAGGAGACCGCCCACGGTTTCGTAAAGTGAATAGAAATGTTCACGGAGTCAGCCATTAAGACATCGTCCAGTTTGTCCAAAATAACAACCACCACACGTTAGGGGGATCCTGTAAACAACATTCGCTAAGCAGGGAACAAATTGGTGCTTGTGACGCTTCTGGCACCCTGGGTTTGAGTGATTGTGAATACCGGAACCCACCTTAGAACAGACCTTGGTTATCTTGTAGGGAGCAGAAAACGCCACTGGGACTTCGTACCTGCTGGCATCTTGTTTGTAATTATGGGACAATTTATGAAGGTAGGGAAGCTCTACCGGGCATTTACTCTGTAAATGAGGTCTGTCATTGTGAATCCCATTCGCCTTCCGACTTTTTCAGAAACAACAATATTAGGACGATATCGAGATCGGCAAACTAGAGAAATTTTAGAAGCCCACCACATCCAAAAATCAGGCCAACAGTGTGTAAGACCCTTCACTATCTTTGGGTGACAAGAAGGTAGACTTACTAGGCAGGCATACAAGCGATCTTGGCCGGGACTAACTTTATGCAAATTTATTCTCTTTTTTTGTTATTTTTTTTCCCTTTTTTCTTCCTTTTTTCTCCTCTTTTTCATCGTGACCTTAAAATCTCTTTGCTTTCTCCTTTTCTACCGCAACATAGTAATGAATCTGTCTTTCTTATTCCTTCTTTCTACCTTGTGTGTGCGCGCGGACTTCATGTCTAAAGCTTTCTCTTTGATTTTCTTTCAAAGTACATAAGTTTGGAGTCAGCGCTCTTTCCTGTGTTCTATTTCATCCTTCTGTCTTTGTGCGCTGTTTTAGGTATGTCTTCCAAGTACCAGCTAGCTCCACTATCCACCTCACTACAGCATAGTACACCTATGCACCGACAAATATTAATATCCAAAATAAACCTTGATGCATTGCTCCAATGTTAACCGAAACATACGACAAACATAAAAAACCTGTTTCATAAGTGGTAGATATAAAAAAAGAAAAGTAGTGGTACATGTTCTATTTAGGGTTTATTTTTGGTACTTGCTCTATAATAGGAAAAGGTATTTCATCCATTTGTTTAATTATGTGCTTAAATTAAGGTGATTGCACATTCATTTGCAGGTTATGACGAAGCTACCCCAAACATTCATGATTCAGTCACTTGGAAATTATCCGAATTTAATATGTGGTTACCAGCATTTCTACAATGAGACCCGGAGAGGTCAGACTTACCTAAAATATGATTCACAATTTAAGTATCCGGACCGCTTGTGAGTACTAAATGTATTCATAATATTAAAAAAAGTATCATGCGTGTATCATAACATATGAGTTTTAACGTGTTTGCTTTGCAGAATTGGCCTATCTCTCTACGTAAGAAATGTGACTGGGTACAAAATTATTATGGCTACTCGACCAGGTGAGATCATGTATTTGCTACAAATTTTAAATTAGTTCAATCTGGGAAGCGGTAACAATACGAACAACGTCAGAAATTTTTTATTAAGAACTTTATATTGACTAATGTGAGTATAACTCGATTGCATTATTTTCTAAGCCTGTAGGCTATTCTGCATTGCTTTATAGTTATGTCAACACCAAATTACGAAGAACCTATATTAGTCTGGAACAATATTGCAATGTGTAACTCAATTCATTTATATTCAGTAGCTTGGATCGTTGTGTCCCATTCTTTTCGTTGTGCGTGACATGCTTTTGATACGCTTTGCTTTAAACAATGGGCTGATGTGCTTTAGGAAGAAGTGGGCGGTGTTAATACCATGTATATGAGCTGAATATATGCTGGTCCGCTACGTACCAGCTCTTCTCTTACCTTGCTGAGTAGCCGTGCCACCAATAGCATTTAAGTCATACTGCTTGGTGGTAACAGCTCAAAAACGACGTAGGACTATGACGAAGAAACACACAGACAGGGTGCTGCGCCTTGTGTCTGTGATTTTTCACTCTGGTCCTACGTCCGTTTTGCGCTGTTCCCACCAAACAGTATGTACCACCAACTAGCCCAAATACATGCCGTGTTGCAATTAAGTCAGTATGCAATCTGAGGTTCCGCATTAACCGCCGAAGTATGGTTGTGTTTCAAGATAAACATTCGCAGAGAGCCGATATGCTTCAAATGCTGCAGCAGTCTCTGGAGGGAAGTTATAAGATATTGCTTCCAAAAAACTGTATTTGAAATAACCTTGCTTTCCTAAATTATTCTACATTGGTCAAGTTTTGTCTGTGACAATATTTCATATATTTCTCAACAGAATCCGTGTTTCCTGCAACATACAGTCGCCACATATTGTTTTCCAACATGAAATCTTGTATGATAATCAAAAACCCGGACCCAGCATTTCCTCAAGGTTGGTAACAAAAACTGCCTTGAGCACGAGTGGTGTCTGTTGACGATTCAAAGCATTTACATCAACTAAATGTTTGGAGTTAAGTGTGTATTGCATTGGGCAACTGAATAGCGTGCAAAAGAATACGACCTGTGCTCAAGGTACTCAATAACTTTTAAAAATAGAACACCCCTTTTTGCTGCTGCAATGTAGCAGTAATATTAGTTAAAGTTGTGTAAAAAACATTTGGCGGTGAAGTAGCGTGTACCCCTAAAACCGGAAACACTATTAACTCGCCCTCACAAAGATATCAAGACGGAGTCACAACTTTAATTTTCTGTGCGGAATCCTGTAACTTCACACGAGAATTAGTTTCTTCTGACATAACTTGACCTGGTGCAGGGGAGGAAAAGGTGGACATATAATAAGAAGAGACAGCACGCAACGTCTCCAAACATAGCTTTCGGTTTATTAAAAACATCTTTAAAGTGGATCAGGACAACACCATCGACGCCGGAAATTTCTTTACAAGCTCAGCTCTGCTAGTTTCTTAAAAGAAAACAATTTAGACCATCTCCCTGAACGACATTCACAAGGTGCAGGCCCGGTACTCAGCAAGTGATCTCGATTTTGCAAAAACTTCCCACCCCTATCCTTCTCGTTGCAATACAGCATATACACAGAAGAAAATGTTATACTTTGTAGGAACCCCGTGATTGACACTTCGTTTTTTTTTTTCTCTCTCTCTCTCTTTTCAATCGCAACACCATCGCCATGCAAAAACGCTGATGTGGTCGCGAGCGCGCGGGATTAAAGAGAGATTCCACCTGAGACATCGGAGTCGCCTAACCTGTTTTTTAGAAAAATAAGTTCTGGCTTGTTTCAAGAAATTATTTAAACACTAACACATTTTTTTTTTTCAGAAGTGATATTCATACACTACTTGACGACAGGTCTAACCTGATTAGATTTTCAGCTACATTTCTCGCGCAGTTCCACTCAGGAAAACAACTGCTGCACTCCACTACTTGCTCTGCAGCCTCTAAGTTTTGCAACTCCCAGAAAACCGGCACCATCTGTACTGAAGATATATTGTCAATGCTGCCGGCAGTCTGTCTGATAGACCAAAAACCACACGCTGAATCGATATCACACACAAACCATTCCCTGCACTCAAAACCTGGATATTTATGCTTTTGACCGCCTCCCTGATCAACGGAAAAGGGTGGCAGTCTAGATTCACGCATATTAGTCTTAGTCTCCGCGGTATTCATTGCGAGTTTAGGGTCAAAAGGCAAGGTGAAGTGTTGAAGTTTCGCATATTGACGATTATAAACAACGCCCAACATATTTAAAAATTTGATGTTCCTCGTCTTAATTTTGGCCCTGTTACGATTTCGGGCTCCCTGAAAGATTGTTTCGTGACGTGTTTTTTTTCTGGGAAGTGGCAGGCGAATCTAATGCTCCACAGGTAGTTTGTGTTCGGTCCGCAGGGCTGTCAACGCCTTCTCTTTAGCACGCAAAGCGCTTGACCGCGCTAACAAATTCAAAAATTTCAGTTAGTCACTTCATCGGCGGTTTATCTAAGAGTCAGTGTATATAAACTCTTACTTAATGACCATCCGCTAGAATAACGGTTTACTTCTATTCATTTGTGATACTCTTTTAATGTTTTATCTGCCAAGTTACTTTTTCGTTAAAATGTGTCGTGTAATTTAATTACAAGTCATTTGTTACGACGTTCATTACGCGTTACTTTTTGTAAGTATAAGATATTGTTCACGCTTCAACGCATCTTTACTCCATTTCATGATATGTACGAGCGAAGTCGAAAGAATAAACAAATAGAGCCACGAGAACACACATTATACGCATTGTAAATGACATAGTTAAGCGATGCTATATCCCACACATAAATATAAAAAAAACATCATAACGTTGTGATTTTTACTTTTTTTAATGGTCTCATCGGCTCATAGCGTAGGCGACGCCCAAACGTAAGTTGAAACGAAGCATAGCTACGCATCGATGGTTGATAACACTGGAATCTTGGATTCAGATCACAGAACTGTGCTCATCAAACTTGTCCAGTATTTGTCTTATGTCTTTCTTATCTCATGGGACACCTCGCCTGGCGGCATTCGAAGAACTGCTGCTTGATATCGAGCTCAATGGGGGGAGCAGTGTAAGCTGGGGTGGCCACTCTCTCAAGACCGAAATCCCAGCTGGTCAGGAGAAAAAAAAACAAGTTTACCTAAGATGCGATTTTACGTCATTCCGTGGAAACATCATAGTTTGGTCATTGAATTAGTCAAATATTGAATTTGCAACGTCATCTATGCCCCATCATGCGAAAGAGGCTGTAAGTATTAATTGGCCGGCCGGTAAAAATCTTGTCGTGTCCACAATCCAGGAAGTGGCCTCCCCTGCTTGGGTTGTTCTGAAACCACTACGCCGAGCCATTCTTGAGCCGCCGAGAGGAAAGATCCTCCCTAAAATAAGGCACCGCTTGCTTGTTCCGCTTAAGTTTGGTGACGACTGTACATACAGAATTCTTGAGGCAGATGCCTTCGTCTAGAAAGTGTGCAAACACAAAAAGCCTTTTGTCACAAAGTATTGCGTGCCAAATAATAGGGAGTTTTCGTAGATCGTTTTCGCCGTCCCACGAGGCCCTCCGCAACCCGCTACGATAGCGGGAACTCCACAGTCAAGGCTATCGGTGCGCAAGCGCAGTAGCAGCTTCTTCGTTGCGGGACGCTTAGCGGAGGTGGCAACGGAATCTATGAAAACTCCCTAATAATTGCCTCGTTCTGCTGAGTGCTGTTCCCATCTATCACATAAATGCAATTGGTCACCGTTTATGAGCGCACGCTTGAGAGGCATACACTACGCAATTTCTTATTGTGCAATTATCTATTTTAATATGTTTATACATTTTAAACGGTCTTTTTAATTCACACAATATATCACTCTTGAAGTAGTCAAGTGTTTCGTTTATACAAAACGAAACATAATTATGCAGCAAAATAAATGCGAGTGCTTCACACGAGGGAACAAATTACACGACTAGCGTATAGCCATAGAGCAGGGCTGAGCAGTATCTGCTACACAAATATATCGCGATAGTGTATTTGGGATACTTTCTTGTATCCCTAATTAGGCAAGTTTTATTCATTCTTTGTTTTAAAAGCAATAACCTAATAACGACTTGTTTTTCAGTTCGAAAAATGTCGTTTTTATTAATCCGGCAGCCTTCTGCAGTCTTTCTGTGTGTTCAAATCGTGGCTATGCTACTAAAAATCACTTGAACTTTTGGTTTAGTGAGTGAATTTTTAAACCAGGCATAAAGTGAAAATAGATTTCGCGCAACAGTCTAATGGTATATTTAAAACTAATTATTTTTCAGCCTGTGACCTGATGGTCACAAAAGAACACTTTTCTAAACCACTAACAAGATGCCGAGAGAAATTCCAACAGCACTGCAAAGGTCCTGCGTTCAGCTATACCATAACAAACTGCCCTTACCCAAAGGACTTGAACTAAATTTACACAAACACTTTGAATGCCCAGGAAACTTTAATATTCAAGGTTTATAAAATTTCTTACCGTAACCTCCTTGTTTAAGTCTCGATTTCTCTGATTAAACACCAAAATTGTCGAAGTGATGAAGTTGTACAGTACTGCACCAGAACTTTTTTTATATATGCTGCAGTTTATTCCACTTGTGCTTCATATCTGCGATCACATAATCACCTTTAAAATTTAAGAAGCTAGACATACACTTTGCCTAGATTGTGACCAAATCGTGCCAAACGTCGCCACAAAAAAAAACAAAAAAACGCCTTGGGGAATTTACGTGTTCTGTTTGAGGATTGACTTCTTTTGGCTTATGGTGATTTTTTAATTTAGAAATTATCAGCCAATCAATTTATCAACAGTTTTTATTAAAGCCAATGCTTATTACGCCTTACTTAATTACCACCCACTAAAATAACGGCTTATTTCTATTCATTTGATTTTCTTATAATTTTGTATCTGTCAAGTTACATTCCCTTTAAAATATGTGGTGTAACTTAATTACAAGACTTTTGATATAACGTGCTTTAATTACGCGTTACTTCTTATAACTGTAAGAAATATTTCATGCTATTAATGCATCTATATGTCATTTTATCCTACGTACGAGCGCAGCCCAACGCGTAAAGAATTTGCGCCACGAGCACGCAGACTAAAAGCACTGTATGGTTAAGCGATGATTTAAGGCACTTATAAATATTAAAAAACAAATTATGAAATTGCGCTTTTGAATTGTTTTGATCGGTCTCATCGGCTCGTAGCGTAGACTGCGCACAATCGTAAGGTGAAACGAAGGATAGCTACGCTTAAGTGGTTGAAAACACTGGAATCTTCGATTTAAACCATAGAACTGTGCTCATGAAACTTATCTAGGACTTTGTCTGATCTCGCTCTTAACTCATGGGGGACCTATTCTAGTGGCATCCAAAGAACTTCTGCATGATATAAAACTCAATGGTGGGAGCAGTCTGAGAAGGGGTGGCCGTTCGCTCAAGACCGAAATCCGAGCTGGTCAGCAGGAAAAAACAAGTTTGCCTACGGTGCGGTTTTACGGCATAGCGTCAAAAGATCAAATGTTTACTAATTAAACTATCCAAACATTCATTTTGCAAAGTTATGCACCTTCATGCGAAAGGTGGCGGTAAGTATTGATTGGCCGGTCGGTAAAAATTGGCATATCCAGGATCCAGCAAGTGGCCTACCCTGCTTGGGCTGGTGTTACCACCCCGTCGCTAGTGCTTTCAGACAAAGAACATGCAGCAGTATTTGGTGTGAGGATGGCAAATCAGTGACGGTGTTGTATTGAACATCTGGTGTGCATTTTTCGTGTTTTCCCTTGATTTACGTGCTGTGGCATGTTTGCTATTTAAACTGGATGCCAACATAAATAAATCTCCAGTTCATAGTCAGCGCTGTGTCCTGTCTGTTGCCTTCTACTTTGTCCTCGTCCTTG